CATTAATAAACAGATAAGGAAAATTAATAGCTTAGGACAAATATTGAGCCTGGTGGTTAAAACCCCAGTCAAGGCATCCGCCATTCATATCAGAGTTCCTGGTTTTAATATGCAATTTTAGCTGTTAATTTTAACCTCCTGCTAATGCAGACCCTGGAAGGAAACAGTGATGATTGAAGTTGCTGGGTTGTTGCCACCCATATGAGACATGGATTGATTTCCTACCTCCCAGCTTTAGTTGCCCTCCTAGCTCAGCTATTGTAGGCATTTGGGAACGAATCTGCAGATGGGGGTGCTCTCTCTCTGCATCTCAAGCCTTAAAATTTGAGTTTTAAAATTAATACCACAGAAGATTATACTTTTCTTCCCAGCCCTAGGAAGATGGACTGGCTAGATTAGAGTCCTGGTGAATGTAGTCACTATGCTTCTGGTCTGATTTAATAAAATGCATACACACAGTAGGACTATACTCCCCATAGTTCAATACTTTGAGAGACCAAAAGAAATAATCTTCTCTCCATGTTAAAAATTCTACCACAGATGGAGTTTTCCAGAAGGCTATATACTGGATTTACAATTCTACATCCTCAGATCTTCAAGAGTTAGATAAAATGGGATCAGACTCAGACGCTGGAAGCACACCAAAATGTCTGCTCTCCTTCCTGCCCAATTTGTCTACTCTAAATACAGTTTGACACTTTCTTAAATCAACCTAATAACATGCAGCACAAGTGCTTTCAGATGCCCAGTGGCTAAACCACATTAGCTTTCTAAGAAGCCCTCTAGCAAACAGCTACTGTCAAGAGAGCTGCACACACAGAGCAGGTGGCCTTGACTGAGTGATTTCACAAGTCTTCATCTGTCTGTTCAACAAGGTCAAACTCAGGAGGGAGCTGGGTCATTAGCAACCAAATCAAGGCCTTTTCACTTAATTCTGTTGCTGTCATTAACAGAAGCAAGATGAGAACCAGTTTGGAGCCCGGCCGAAGCCCAGAAGCATGGAAGGGCCGGTGGCTCCAGGTCCTCACAGGGGTTTACACCAATGACACAGTAGGAAATTCCTCTGCAAAGAGTATGGGACCACAGTACTTTCCTTTCTTCATTTCAAATGGGAACCTTTTTTCTTTTTAAAAGATTTTTGGAGACAGTTTTTCAAAATAAGGCAATTTCTCAATTAGGTTGATGATCTCTAGAAACTGATGACTTATGGGAAACTGGATGAAATACCATGTCAATAAATCTAAAGTGGGGGCTGGCTGACATCCTTAAACAGGTGTCATTATCAGGACCAAGTGCATTACTACCGATAGTCCATGTCATTTGGAAGAGGAGAAAAAGTATGACCAGAACTCCAAATAGTGTGTACGGTGACTCAGTGTCAAGGACATAGGCAGAGATCAGCCACAGTTAGGACTGCCTGTCCATTTCCCAAGACTAGCTCTCCAGGCTTCCGTAAGTGTGTGCTTTTTTTCGACATCCTTTCAATCAATTTTTCCTCCTCTATACACATCTGAAGCAGTTTCAGCTTCTTGTGAACATGGCTTGGAGTTGATTCAAATACCAGAAAGAGTGTTCTTTCCTTCAAATCTATTTTTTTGACCTGGTAGACCCAATGCTAAAAAATACACTGCTGCACAACTAAAAAAGAAATCAACTGAAGGAGGAAGACAGTTGTATTTCCATCCAAATGGTTAAATCAGCCAATAGGGAGAAAAAGAGAGACGACTCCTTGTTCTCATCCTCATTTCAGGACCAGAAATTTTTACCAGGAGATGTCTCAACAGCAAAAACAGATGTACCTTCCTATTTAAGATGGTAGCTGGAAGCAGGTGGGGAGTCTCCCTACAACCAATTCTCATTTTCAAGAGATCTCTTCCCAAAGAGTACCAAGTTAAGTTGCTGATCCTAAGTTTTAATACTTTTTTAAAAATGCTACTTTTTAAAAAAGTGGTGTTCTGGGGGGTGGGGGATACACTTAGAGAAAATAGTTTATAACATGGAAGTACCATTTTCGGTGCGAATTACACTTGCATAGTTTATTCACCAAAATGGATGGTTCTGTAATTGAATCAGGGCTTAATCTGCACAGGGCCATGGGAGTGTTCAATAAGGTAACCAACCGTGTTTCCATGGTGAAGTTGAAAGGATGGTTTAGGTGAACTAGCACTGAGCATAGGGGACTTTTCAAAGATATTGCTCTTTCTAACCCATTGCATTTGTTTATGAAATAAAATTACTTTATTTAAAAAAAAGATGTATTTGTGGGAGATTGCACCTGGATCTCCGCCTGCCTAGCCCATATGGGAGGCCATAGGCACATGGCACACTTTGTACTTGGCTGAGATCCCAACATGGCCTGTTTGCTAGGCATGCAGGAAGAGCGATGGGCTGCACCCCAGTTTCTCTTTCCTGCCCCTTAAACAAACTGTGCTAGGACTTCCTTTGTAAACAACTCTAGGAAGTCAACTGTTACATTCACCCTGTTTTTCAGGAGGTAATGAGTCAGCCCTAAGACACAGGGCTCCTGTTTCTTGTGCTTCCTGTCCTTTAACTTCATTGGAGGGTTCAGAGAGATAGATATATCTGTTAGCCAGTCATAATGTTGTTGTTGAGTGGAAGCACTGTTGGAACCACCTTCTGCCTTTCCCTAACCTATACAAGCTTGTGACTTCTCTAAAATAAACGGACATTCTTCACCACCGGTGTGTCCCTAATGTTTCTGTTGCAGAAGAAGACTGTCACCTCACCTCTTGGTGGTCTCAGGGCCTGCTGGACAGAAGGTAAACCCCATGCTCTGGCTGACCACACGCACATCACAGCTTCAAGTTGAATGCAAGTCAACAGGACACACAGCACTACTTTTGCCCTTGACCTTTCTCCTATACAATAAAGTTCTTCTCAGATACAACTACCTGGACCAAGAAGAAACTAAACCTACACAGCTGGCATTGGTCATCAATAACTACAGAAACAAGATGGGTTTTGATTAAAACCCTAGAAATCCAAAGTCAACATTCATTCAGCTCTCAGTACTATTGTCCAGTGACCATATTAACCCAGGCAACTTTTCTTCTTCCACTAAACATATTTGATGCCCTAAATGCTGAACCATACACCAAAAGTATATACAACACTGCTACAAAAGTTATAACTAAATTCCACAAGTATGTATGTGTGCCAAGACTATCTGTGAAAAACATAATATCGTACCCGAGAAAACAAAATCAACATTAAACCCATCTATTATTTGCTTTAATTCTGATTCTAAAAAATTGTACCTTGAGCATATAATGTGACCTGAAGTTTCAGTGGATGCTTGTTATAGCATGATCCATATTGCAACAAGAGTCAGTAATAACTGTATAGTGTTAGAGAATTTCCAAATAGGAACTAATGATAGAGACTCGGGAGTTACACTAACAGCACATCTGCTTCTCCTCCATATCCAACCCCACCCACCCAAACAGACCTCAGTAGATATAAACGCAAAAGTTATACATTTATACATCACATGGAAAAACATTCACACAACATTCACACATTCTTGTTTCTAAGGTCTATTTGTTTTGGAAGCCAGAATATGATTGTCAGATTCTCTGTTACTTGGCACCATTCTCATAGAAACTGGACATTTGTTCACTGTCACTATGGCTGAATAGATAAAAAAGACAATAGTGAATTCTCTACAGCTGGCATTAACAAAACAGATAATGTCATGATCCTCAAGCACTGACTGGGGGCAGGGAGGCAAGAGGAATGTTTATTCTTTGCATGATTTTGCATCTTCCATGCCTGTAATACAGCATCGCAGGGTGTCTTTCACACTTACACAGCAATTGTGATCATCTATCCCATCAAAGATGCAGGAATAGGTAATATTCCTGAAGTCTTGATTATTTCAGCATCTTCCTTTTTTCCCTCAAGAATGGTACATACCACTGGGCCCAGAGTTTATTACACTTTTATGAAGTTCAGGATCAGGATCATCAAATTCTGATGATCCCACCTCTCCCACACAGGCAGATGACCACAGCAAACAATGTTTATCCTCTTATCAAATGGAACTAGTGAGGGTTGGCTCTAAGTGCATACTATAGAACCAAATGTCATGTATGTCTCTAACACAGCCCTGGCATTCTGTAAGTGAGCAACAAATATTATCTCTGTTCTACAGCAGCAAAGATGAAAGAACTCTGACAACTTAAGTATAATCCAGAAGCACTTGGCGCTCTCAGGATAATGCAAGATTTGGTTGCAGATCCTGCTCCAACAAGGCACCTCCATGGACTCCTTATGGAATTTCCCATATCAAAGCAATGTTAGCTATTAGGTACCTGCTTGGGCTAGAAAATGGCACTCTTCTTGGCTACACGACACCAGTCTCTGCCCCTAAAAAGCTGGTCTTGATTTTATCAAGATGCCTTGATGCTTTAGGGTAATATGCCTGGTACCATATCATTTATATGTACTTGATTCCATTTTTGCTGGAAGTTTGTTGTCACGCATGTATATCAATGGTCTTTTGTCTGTCTGTGATGGGACTAAACACTATGATTACAAACTCCTAAAAATCACTCTGTATTTGACAGGTTTTTTAAAATAGTCTCTAATATAGCCATGAGAATAAATAGGACCTCAGAGAAGTAAATATGATGAAAGAGTACTTAAAACTTGTACACTGGATAATCAAATATCATTCCAAATGAAAACCACACATGGAACAAAACTTTTTTTTTTCAAACGGGGCTAGGCCATGCTTTCCAAAGGAAAGTGACCACCAGAAACAATTCTTTATCTTATTTTGGAAATAAGACACTCAAAGAACACTTAGTCCATCCATTTAATATCTGTATATTAAGTCCATCACTTTCCTCCCAAGAATGTTTCAGAAAATTTCTAAGACACTTGGATAAATGAAAAGGTAAATCACTTTGTTTGAAGGCACCCAGACACAAGATGTTTGTGTGAGCCATCTTACTAAACCACAGTTCACATCCTACCTCCTTGAAGTTATCAAAGGCTGATAAAATGATTTCATGTCCCCCTCGGACAAGACAAACAGCTGCCAACAATTCTAAGACGAGGGCTTTTGTTCTGTCAAAACAAGAGGACAAAAGAAAACACCCATCAGTGAAAGTGACAGGATGAATCAGCTTTTCTTCCCTCCCACAGGAATATCTGAGTATTAAAACACTTGCCAGAGTAGTTTAAATTATTTACAAAGGTGCAGCATTAAGGCATAGTTCCAACCAAGCCTTTGCACTATGTGATCTATGTGCCACATGGTTGTCACTCCTCCACATCAGACATGACTAATGAAAATTAACTCTGAGAAGTACAGTTCCTCAGCGCTATCATTACGTGACTCGGGGTCCTCTAGCTGAAAAATGTTTACTAACAAGCTAGAATCAACAGGAAACTCAGGAAAACATACAAGAGCCATTGGTTAAATATTTTCGCTGGCTTTACAACCAGAAGTACAGTTTTTGTGGAAAAACTTCAAAATTAACTGGAACTAATGACCTCCATCTCCAATCTGCTTATTTGTGGATGGAGCCAGAAAGATCCCCCATGATACCACAGGCCTAACTGACATTTCTTCTTCATGTGCAGGAGATATGGAAGGAGTTGAATTACAGCTGTATTAATATCAGAATGTTTTCTTCCACTCAAGAAATAAAATGCCTCTGAAGTCTATTTGGAAGGAAAACTACTGCCACATCTTAGAAAGAAACATCATTGCTTCCTCAACCTAAGACCACGTTAGTTTATTTATTTAATTAATTGATTTTATTCTGAAATAAAATGCCTTGCCAACCTCTAAACAAAGACCCCTCTTACACAGTGTCAACTGGAGAAAAATGAGTGAAAAAACGAGTAATGACTTCTCCAAAGTAGAAAGTAGAGAAATAGACACATGAAAGCTCTGGTCTCCAATAAACTAAGGAAGAACTGCAAAGTCACAAAAGATCAATCAGGGGAAGTCTGAGAAAATAATTTCCAGTATCTAAATGGAAATCTATAATTTATAATGTGCTACAAATAAAAAAAAAGACCTGGTTTATCATCAGATTTTTGAGCTGAATTAACAGTGTTCAGATATTCTGTCAGTCTATATATAGATGCACCTGATGAAAAAGAATCACACATTTGATGCCTCATGAGAACAGAAAACACAGAGTAACTAAAATAAATGCATGAAAATAGGCTTCCAAAGGGAATCTAGGATGTAATTCACAGTGCTGGCATTTATAAAAAATCACTTTCTGTAAAAGGATATTGATGTACACACTTATTTGTGCTTACTGGTTCATTTGCTAACTAAAGTTACATATATAAAAGAAGTGAAGTATGGCTCATGATTTTTATTAGCTTTCACCATTAACTGGTATAGCTACATCTTGTATCAAAACTCTGCCAGCAATCTCATTCTTCCCATCAAATTTATCAGCAAGGATCTGGGTACCAGGGAATTGAAAACATGAACAGTGAAACCCTAGAATTAGCACCAGTTGCTCAATTCTGTTGTGAGAATGTCACTGGCTAAAAGGAAGAGTTTTACACAGACAAGTCCTGAGTTACCCTTGAAGACGCTCAAGATCTAACCTGGCTAAGTGCTGACTGGCTCTCAGTTTTCCCCATTAACTTTAGACCTGTACATTACCAAGGAAGCTTACCTGGGATTCTTGTTATTTAAGCTTAGTGCAATTTCATTGACAGCATGTGGATGAGACATGACCATGTTGAAACCATACTGAAATATGAGAAAAAAAATGTGTAAGAAAGCACTAGGAGACAGTACATGTTGATGAAAACAAATCGACAAGCCTTCAAAGTTCTATGTAATATAATTTACATTATCATGCATGCAGGTGTTTATCACATTGTGTTAGAACATACTTGCCTCTAAAAAATGTCATGAGTAATGCCACTATCCAGATACCATCTTCATCAAGAATAAAGCATATGTCTCTATTGATTTAAATTGTAAAAAGTTGATAGCCAATGAGTCTCAATCTTGGCTGCTCAATAAAATGGCCTGAAGGACTACATAAAACAAAACACTGAACGGATTTTCTTTGTTTTTTTTAAAGATTTATTTATTTCTATTGCAAAGTCCGATCTACAGAGAGGAGGAGAAACAGAGAGGAAGATCCCCTGTCCGATGGTTCACTCCCCAAGTGACTGCATTGGCCAATACTGCACCAATCCAGATCCAGGAGCCAGGAACCTCCTCCAGGTCTCCCACAAGGGTGCAGGGTCCCAAGGCTTTTGGCCGTCCTCCACTGCTTTCCCAGGCCACAAGCAGAGTTGGATGGGAAGTGGAGCTGCCAGGATTAGAACCAGCGCCCATATGGGACCCTGGCACGTTAAGGCAAGGACTTAAGCTGCTAGGCCAATACGCCAGGCACCACTGAATGGATTTTCAAAGAACCACCTCAGTTCAACCTATTCCAACTCTCCAGGACACAGTTCTGGCACCTGAATCTTATTTAAACGTTCAGGGTATCACCTTGTGCAGCCAGGGCTGACAAACACTGCATCTAGGCCCTTCTCTGACAATGCCTATCAGCATCTATGGGGCAGGAGAACTTGCCCTGCTCTGTGGAATGCCACCTAAGCCTCCTACACAAAGAAATTCAACAACAGCCTCAATCTTTCTTGATTCTGCCAACGTTTTGCTGTTTCTCTTCCAAATTCATTCTCTGCTCACCCTAACAAAGGAAAAATTCATTTCATTAGAAAAAAATCTTTCAAATCTCCCTCCACATAGATCTGTGGCCGGCTTCCTCCTCTCCTCCTTAAAGTGAATTCTTGGGACTACTGTTGTATCATAGTGTGTTAAGCTGCAACCAACATTGGCATCCCATATGGATGCTGATTTGAGTCCCAGATGTTTCACTTCTGATCAGGCTTTGTGCCTGGGAAATGCAGTGGAATATGGTCCAAATACCTGAGTCCCTGCCATGGATGTGAGAAACCAGTCCCAGCCATTGCAGCCATTTAAGGAGTAGGCTAGCAGATTGGAGTTCACTTGCTTGCTTGTTCTCTGCCTGTTTTCTCCTTCTCTGACTTTGCTTTCCAAATAAATTTTTTTTTAAAAAAAGTGAATTCTCTGCTCCAGTGTAAGTCCAACCATTTGCTAGTCTTTGAATCCATTCCTTTCTACCAGAAATACTTCTATTCCATTTTTCCCTATTGATTCATTTTCAATAATATAAAAAGATGCAAAATATCCTTCATCTTAAATAACAAAATCTCTGGACATCATAACTGCTACTGCCTCTCATTTCTCTGCCATTCTGTACAGTCTAAACATTTGCAGTGTGTGATTCCTCTCCTCCCATAGGTTCTTGAGACCACACCAGGGACGCTGTTCTCACCTGAACGTCAAGTCCTATTCTTTGTCAAAGCTAATGGCCAGTTTTCACCCCTCATCTTGCATGGCTTAGCAGCGGCATCCCTTCTTGAAACATCCCATTTCTCCCACTTGGTTTCTGCCACCTTGGCTACTTCCCTGGTTCTCCAGCCAGTATTCCTCCTTTTCCTGACATTTTAACTGAGTGGTCACAGTTCCTATTGTAGACCTCTTTACATCTTCATCTATCCTACAGACATCAGTCTTCGTTCTGGCTTTCTATATTGCCCACATGCTAAATATTCTCAAATGTATATCACTAGGATAAATATCCATCTTGAAATCCACACTGGCATATCCAAATACTCATTTGAGATCACAATCAGGAGGTCCAGTAGATGTCTCCAAATTAAACTAACAGAAACAGAACTCCCAATCATCTTCTGCTGTCTTCCTCAATGTAGTACATGGCAACTCCATCTCACAGGTGCAAGACAAAAACTCAGGTGCCACCCTCTGATTCTGATTCTCTCTCATCATGCCATCAACACAAGTAACATTAGAATATGACCACTTCTCATCACCTCCACTTCCAAACCACCATGACTGTTCACCTAAATTACTGCTAACAGTCCTCTAGACTAGCTTTTCTTTGCCCTCTATTGTCAATTCTAAGCACAGAAGCTGTAGTGCTCATGCTAAATTCAAGTGCCAGATCATGTCCCGAGAACCCTTTAATACATTTCCACTGAAAATAAAGCCAATGTCACCTTTTGTGTGTGTAAAAGTAGGATTTGCTATTATGTCTGATTTCATCTTCTGTTCCTCTCTGACTTATTGTGATCTAGCCCGACTGGCCTCCTTCCTACTTGGCCAAGCTAGACTCATTCCTGACTCAGGGCATCTGAAATTGCTCTTCCTTTTGTCTACAATCTACTTTCCTTAATATCCCCTTCCTTTTTTCTCTTTCTCAAGTGGTTACCACATATTATCTTTTTGCTGCCACTTTTCTGGTTAGTCTACTTAAAACTGAATATATTCTTCTGATATGTCGTATTTCCGTTTTGGGATTAACTTTTCTACAGTGCTTGGTAATGGTTATCTGGGTTGAAATCTCAACGTCACCAATTATTAGCTACAAAGTTTGTGACAAATTATTTAACTTCACTGAGACTAAGTTTCCCCAAGAGTTAAATGGAGAGGAAATTTGCCAATCTCTTAGGAATGTTATGAAGGCTATGTGCGTTGATAGGTTTAAAAACTAGACTCATAAAATGTACACTTTAAATACAGTTTTTCATTTAATTTCATTTCACTGCCTCTATTTTCTAGAACATTATGATTTTTAGCTCTGCATTCGTTTATCATCTCAGACCTCTCTGAGGTGCTTACTGAGTGCTTAGAAAAGAACATGTGTGGCAAAGCTCAAAAATTACTTTCTAATCAGAAGGAAAACAAAGGCATGTTTTCCTTGTCACATTTACTTCAGAGCACTTATGTCAAGTTTCAAGACTAATACCAACCCTCCATGTATTTATTGTGTATTCTGTTTGGAGCCACCAGTAGTATGAGTATAAGTCAAAATCAGATTCCATTTTTATATTTGAATTCTATTTTGCTATTATCTCTGGCTTGCTTATCTAACTATACTTCTGGTACAGCTGGCTCACCTGATAGTTCACTCTCTATTGTCCACTTGGTTATTAGAATAAACCCACTACAAAGCTCCAGTGTATTCCCCAAGCAGGATCAAACTGCATCACAGTCACCAAAGGAAGCAATCTGCACATCTAACAATGGTCTTCCAGGCGATTTTTTGAAAGATTAGGGACCACTGAGTCTGACAGACAACTGCAACAATTTGCCTGTTCACCATATAACTCTTTGAGAATCCTGACCCACCCTTTATGCCTGTCAGCTCATTCCAGCATACTCTGCTTAGCCTATTGCTGCCACAACTACAAGCTTACTGCTTTTAATGGTCACAAATGTTAACCAAGAATTCAGGCAAAATTATTGCTGTAGGAGAAAAATATCTCTCCTTCAAACACATTTAAAGGAATGTTAATTAAAATACTGGCAATGAAGTAGAATTTAGTGTTTATAATGAACTAGATCTTTCTTTTTCAGCAGAATGTCATTAAAGCCTGATATTTACTTCAGACAGAAATAATGTAAATAAATCAAAGGGAACAAAAATCTAAGCCAAACTAATTCATATTTCCTTTAAAGAACCATAAGCACACACATACCTGGTAATTCATGATGGCACGTAAACACATGATACAGACATGAACATCATCTTTCTTACTCACTAATCTTGAATTTTTCAGAGTTCTTCTGCTTGGCAAAGTATTATATCTACAAATAAGAAGGAGAACTTACATAGAATGATAGATTACTTTCTTAGCAGAGACACATGCTCTTAAAAAATGGACATGGTTCTTGATCTGCACCTAAATGAGGATTGTAGGTCAAAACCACCATCACCAAATCCATCACACAAAACTACTTCTGTGAGCTAAGGCCCACATGATTTCATGATTCTGTGTGCCTGTTACTATCTCCTGAGACCATGGATGATGAAAGTCAACCACATTCAGGGTATATAACAAATTAGAATGTACATTAGGTTCAACAACAATTCCAGACATCGTATCAGCTGGCCAAACCAGCACAGAAGTGAGTGAAGACAGGATGTGCTTGCAAGAAAAAAATGAGGCAGTAAAACTCAGACCTAGCAATACCGAGATCTCCAATTATTTGACCGGACTTTAATTATATCTTCTCATTACTGCTCTCAGGAGTACTTTTTTGGAGTTCAAATCTAGGCAACATTGTACTTTAGCAACTTTCATCATAGCCTGTAATATCAGATCCTTAAGCCTTAATAGAACAGACATGCTTCAACATCCTGATGGATGACTAAATAGGCTGATATTTCAAAGAGTTTATGTGTCAGTGTGTTAGAGTGTCAGAATTAGTTTCAAAGCTTCTGCATAGCTAAGCCACCTTTCTCCTTCTGCAGACTGATCAAAACCTGTTCGACATAACTATCAAGGAAACATGGTACATGTAGCCAAGATGACAGCACTGACAGCTTTGATATGAGCTTGAAGTTTATGCCATTGAGCCGCAACACAGATGAACCTTCTCAGCCGCTCCAAGACTGTAACGAAAACAACCTGCAAAACTTTCAACGGCACTCCTGTAAAGGGATTCAGTGACGTAAATGTTACACAAAATCAAATAAAGGCTTTCCTCTTAAACTAAATAAAAATTTTAAAGCAAATTATGATTAATGTTGACACTTTCAAGAGTTCCAAAGATGCAGGAGAGGAGTTGAAAACTAAAGATTTAAAAAACGATTGAACACAAAAAGGTAATTACTTTCGTACTAGACTGTCAAGTGAGCTGAATAAATTTTTGAAAAACTTTTTAATAGGACAGTTGTCTCCAAGAACATGCGAAGACCTAACATGGGTTACAAGAGCATGACTTTATCCAAGGTGTTCCTGCTGGATGACACTTGGAATTAACATTTCAGCAAAGGAAGCTGGTACGATTCAGTTCTGAATACAAAGTAGTGATGTTGAGTCAAAGAAATTTCAGATTTTGGTGTTAGTAAACCCAACCCAATTGTATGACATGGGCACGCCTCAATGAAAGTCTCCGAGGAGTTACTGCAACTTCCAACAATAAGCTCAGAGTCAATGACTATCTCCGTCTACATGTGAATTTCCTTCCCTGCAATTTACTTTAATCTCAGGTTTCTGTTTCTTTAATGCAATCACTTGCCAACCATACTTCTGATCAGCAACTGATCAGAAGACTTCGCTTTCAACTCAAAGCAAAGGGAGTAAAGTACCACAAAGCCATTTAAGTTTAAAAGAAGAAAAAGTCTTACCAATAAAATCAATGATACTTTGCAAAGCTATTTTTAAAGACAGAGCTACCAAAAAAAGGGAAAAGACAGAAATTTTCCATCTGCTGATTCATTCTCCAAATGATCATCATGGACAGGCCTGTGGCAGGCCAAAGAAAGGAAACCGGAGCTTGGAGTTTCATTCAGGTCTCCCACATGGGTGGCAAGGGTCCAAGTACTTAGGCCATCTTCCACTGTTTTACCAGACACATCAGTGGGAAGTTGGATCAGAAGTGGAAGAGCCAGGGCTTGAACTGGAGTCCACATGGGATGTTGGCATTGCCAGCCACGGTAGCTTTAACCACTATATCCTGATGCCAGACTCTCCTTTGTGAAATTATACTCATGTGTAGCAATGGCTACAGAAAACACTGATCAAAACAAGCTGCTGTTTAAGATGACATAAGATTATTCTCCATAGTCCCACTATTTCTGCATCACTTCCACATAAATTTTAATTATTTCACCAAGTAGATTAACCTCACTCATTTAACTTTGTTTCTATAAAACAAAGTCATAACACATTTCTTCCTTGTATTTATTACTCCACCTCTGGACCTACATAATGGTAATTTTCAGTCAGGACACAATGGCTCAATGGCTAAATCCTTACCTTGCAAGTACTGGGAACCCATATGGGTGCCAAATCATATCTTGGCTGCTCCACTTTCCATCCAGCTCCCTGTTTATGGCCTGGGAAAGCAGTGGAGGATGGCCCAAAGCCTTGGGACCCTGTACCCACATGGAAGACCTGGAAGAAGCTCCTGGCTTCAGATCAGTTCAGCTCTGACAGCTGCTGCCACTTGGGGAATAAACCAGCAGATGGAAGATCTGTTTCTCCTTTTCTTTGTAAATATGACATGCCTTTCTAATAAACATAATTTTTTCAAAAATTGCAGTAAGTTTCTTTGTAAGAAGCCAAAATATCCTTTTTGCAGTCATATTTTTTAGACTGCAAAAAATTCAATAGTGGCTGGTGTTTTGCTGGAGTAGGTTAAGTCATCACATCCCATATAAGCACAGCTTGAGTTCCAAACACTCCAATTCTGTTCTAGCTCCCTGATAGTGTGCCTGGGAAAGCAGCAGACGATAGAAGACAAAGATGAAATTCCTAGCTTCAGCCTCGTCCAACTCTGGCCAACGTGGTGATCTGGGGAATGAATCAATGGACACCAGATTCTCTCTCTCTGTCCCTCTCTTTTTCTGTCTAAAATATATGTTCTGGATCAGCATCTAAAATATATTTAATATGGTATGTCATACACTTATTTTTGAAGGAATTTATATATGCAATGTCATTAAAACAATGAGCATTTTATTTATTAATGCTATTCTATCTTTAAACACAAGAGATACCCATTTTTCAGGCCTTTGGTTTAAAACACTACTTTCTCCAGTTTTTTGGTTTATTATTATCATAAAGAGAGTAGAAATAAAAAAGGCAAATTTTAAACATCCCAGAATTACTACAAAAATCTCGTTACCAAAGACAACATGATAAAAACCACACCACTGGTACCAAACAAGACCCATCATTTACTGCAACACTTCCTCTATACAGGTAAGAACTGAAGTCCAAGGAACAAGCAATCAATGACATGAGAACCAGATGGGTCCCTGCGGGTTCCTGTTTCCTTACTGGATTCAAGCTAGTCATGTTCAGTTTGTTGCTTCTGAATCTGACAGTGGCCAATGCATTGGGTAAACAAGAGAAAAAGGTACTGCTTATAACCTTCTATGCCAGCCCATCTCTCGTGAAATGCATGCATCCTATCATCCTGACAACACTTTCTGCTTCAGTCCCATACGGGGGTCATTTACTGCCTCAATAATAATTTCACTATGAAGGATTAAGTCTTAGCTTGTCAACAAGAGCAATATCCGGGCACGTGCTGCAGAACACAGGGTTGATCCACTTGGCAAGCAGACTTTTAAATTTTTCACCTATGTATCACCTGTCAGTAAAATGAGAATGCTTTGTAATCAAACAGGAAACTTTATTCTATTCTCATTCTGAAAGGATTTCCTCTCACTAAACAAATAAATCCTAATAAATGTTAGGGCTCACTGCCATGATTCAAGACTCAGTGTAGCTTTACCTTAAACCTGTAAGGATAGATTTTAGGGACTGCACTGTGGGTTAGTGTGCACAATCATTCCTTAGCATGCACATTTTTTTTTAATTTGGCAGTCTTTGTAATTAAATATTTTGTGCATTTGCTTTTACTACCAACTCAACAAATTGCTTTTGCAGGGTACAGGTTATAAATTTAAGTCTAATTCATGATGTTAACCCTACCTAATAAACACTTTACTGTGAAGATGTTTTTAACACATCCTCCAAGTTGCCCCTAAAATGCCAAGAGAAATAGCAATTTATGGTCACTGTAGCACAAAGGGGACTCTTGGACAAGGTGAACAATCTTGAAAAAATGGTCCCAAGTACTCTGTATCAGCTACAGGTAATCTAACCAAATCTCATTTAAGTCCCTAAACTTGATCTTACTAAGCATCAACTGTGTATGCCAAATTCTGATAAACACTAAAGAAAAATTAAATACATTGTTTCAGTTCTGGATGGCTTTTAGTGATTAAGTTCCTACAGTTAAAGATGTTTGATTTTGATCTCAATCGATCTTGCACCTATTTCTTTCCATAATAGCAGAATTTTATGTACTTTATCTGCCAACTGTTCCAACATGTGATCTCTGAATATCTTTTGAATACAGTTAAAGGATGAAGGGGACTGGTGAGTGCCACAGGTAGGATTGGAATGTCACAGCAGCATTCTGTCTCCAATTACCAATTCACACAGTCCAACAGAAAGCAGTTGTAATGTGGTGCTGCAGTTCTCACAAGGCACTATTGTCTGATCGTGTTAATACAAACAGGACACAATAATGAGCCCTGTTTGTGAACGTGTAGATAAGGCAGCCTGCATCCGGTTCTGTCATGGTCCTGTAAACTACACTCGTTTTTCCTTTCACAAGCACTGACCATCCCAGCTTACTAACTTAAATAAACCTTCCACAAAGACCTAAGCTTTACAAGGATTAAGCCGGTGACTCAGTAGGAGGTACGGGTGCCTCTGTGGTAAACCAATGCCCTTGGCATGTGTTCTGTTACAGAATTACACAAAGTGAAATTGATTACTTTAAGGCTTTCCTCCTGAAACTTATTACAAAACAGACTGAGTAGAGCCCAAGTGGAGACTGTCCCTCTAACTAATTATAGTTTAATTACAGGAACCCCAGAAAGTGGCAGTATCAGTTTTTCCTAGGGGTAACTGAGGCAAATGGGCTTCAATTGATCCTGTTTCATGTCTTGTATGACAGAGTCTGTCAGCAGCTAATGGTTCATGATCCTTTCACTGAGGTTTGAAATCAGCCTCTGTGGCAATGCACTCCAGTGGGGGCTCTTTCCCTTCCCCACTGGT